GCGTGCGTGTGTGTGTGTGTGTGTGTGTGTGTGTGTGATCCTATTCTTTATCCCCTCAACCTCTACAATTATGAACTGTATTATATGTATCTACTATTCCCTGAAAGATACTAAAAACGTATGCTCTATACTGATAGAATAAATATACTGATAGAATAAAGAGAATATTTGAAGATTAAATATTTTAATTGCATATAAATAAACAGATAAATTCTACTAATATTCTATTTATTTAATAATTATAAATGTAATTTATCGCGTCACAGATTATATAGTATATATATAAATTGTAATATACAGGGTGTCCCAGATTACTTTCGATACAATCTCTCGTGAGGAGCGAGTTGAAATGAATACAAAAATCCCATACCGTTTTACGATATTCTCAATAATAACCGAGAAATTAATTGTAAAAGATTAAGGAAAAACGCACACTGAATGGTTAAGGGAGAAGCGACCCAATAATATAGCAGACGGATGTTAGTGCGCGACTTACATCGCTACGATCTTGTCTTGCCGCACCGCGCCGAGGCGAAATGCAGGAATGCAGCGATAAGAGGTCTGTTTTTTTCCTCTGCACTGGCGGCATTGACTTGCACGCAGTGCAAGCAGTGTATACTAAAGTGTTCTTTGCAACGATTACGGCGACTTTATGACGTCATCATCGCTGTTTTTTTCCTCAATGCAGTAGTACTCAGTACAACAGAACACTGCACTGCCTGCCTTAGTGGTCTGTTCTTTTCAGCTGCACTGCTGAACTGGTGCAATAAGTTAAAATGAGAAAAAATATACTTGTCTCACTTTAGCTTATTGTATCAGTGCAGCAGTGCAGCTGAAAAGAACAGATCATAGGTTAGCTCGAGCTAGGGCAGCGGTGTAGTGCAATATGGCGACATACACGAATAAGAATAGGTTATGGCTCTTGCCAACACAGAACGCGGCGGAAGTTCGCGCAACAGCCAATCAATATGCTGCTTTCCGTAATAACCTTCTAGCTCTTACAGAAAAACAACATATTGATTGGCTGTCCCTTGGACTTTCGCCGCGCGGCAAGCATTACCGCGTCCTGTGTGCAGAATCCATCAGAATTCTCAAATATAAATAAACAAGCAGCATAATAACTTAATAGCAAAATACCTGTAAGATAAAATTCCTATTAAGGTAAAATTCAATATAATTAAAGCAATTATGATATGATTGTAGTTATTCAGATAAAATGGATTACATATTTCTTTTAGATATGAAGTTAAATAGAAAAATGGCACAATTTTAAAGGTGATAACATAGAGAATTCTAAGAGAATTTAGTCGTATGTCACCAATTCTGAGTTTATTTTTAGATACAAAAAGAATTCTTTTCACTGAACTGGATTCTGAAGAATTCTTTTTACATCTGAAAATGAACTCAGAATTGGTGATATACGATTGAATTCTTTTTGAATTCTTTTTTAATTCTCTGTGCTATCTGGGTAGTTTTTAAGGGTGGTTGCAACATTACAAGCATCTCTTCTTCATCTGAAGAATCAATTAATTCCAGTTTCGAATTATGTGACGCGCCATGTTATTCACTATCCTCTGTGACATTCTTTTCCTCTTTGTCAGGACTCTTACACTGTTAAGTGTAATGCAGTGCTAGTGTAGTACAGTGTAGTACAGTGCCAGTGCAGTTCTAGTGCAGTTCCAGTGCAGTTCCAGTGTAGTCCCAGAGGAAAAGAACAGACCTATTATTAGGCCGCGAATATTTTAATCCTCTCTCAACTATTCGTGTGTTTTTCCTTAATCTTTTACAATTAATTTCTCGGTTATTACTGAGAATATCGCAAAACGGTATAGGACTTTTGTGTTAATCTCAATCTGCATTACGTCCTCACGAGAGATTGTGAAAGTGATCTGGGACACCTTGTATAACAACTTAGCTGAAAATTTTTATTAGAATAATGATCTGAAAAAAAAACAAATTATAATACACCCAGGAAGAAATATTACAATTTATAATATAGTTATAAAAATCATAATATTTTTTCGGATATATTATAATTTTTCAGATTTTATTTTAATAAAAATTCAATTATTTCAGTAAAAATTTCCAGTTAAGCTCATATATATATATATATATATATATATATATATATATATATATATATATATATATATATAT